ATCAGTTGAAGGAAGCAATGTTGACAATTCTATGACTCTATTGGAATTACTATCACTAACTCCTGTAAGATCAATCCTATTGAGCACTGCAAAGCAATGATAGTAATGCAAGCTAAGAGTATGCAAGTAAATCCTGTCGAATGATGGATGAATGTTTTTATCAACATTGTCTCCTACAAGCTTAAACCCTTTCCAAGGCAAAACATGACTGTTGTCACTATCATTAGTACTGATATCAGTTGTAGAGGTATCAAGAGATGTAACATTACCTTGATCAGTTCTACTTGAACCTGTATTAAAATAATAGCATTCTATGCATAGTAATTAGAAAATATTTTTACCCAAATCATCTAACTCTTGCTCATCAGCTTGCTCATGTATCGTCTCTTCAACATTTTTATCAGTATCACTGCTTGTACCATCATCTCCACAGTCGGCATTCAAATCAACTAAATCAAAAGCTATAAATATACCAAAAACACTTACAATAGCTATACACAAAAATATTTACCATCTTCTTCATAACCATGATTAATTTCCTGTTCTGCTTCAAAATTAAACACCAGTGTTGAATCAACTGGATCCTGCAAACATTATAAAAATTAAATTTTAAGTTCATTAATTTAGAGACTAACTTCCAATTGTGATAAAAGGCTATTAGACCAAGAGAGTACGTCAACATCATAATCCTTTCCTAAGTGATCCAATAAATTCATAGTACCACCATGTGACAGACAGATCATCAATGGTTGTAGACAATTATAAATCTATAATAGTAAAAAAGACAGTTAATACACTAATATAAAAGATATGAATACAATTTAATTGGTGTGTTGAATAGTATATAGCACGTATTAATACTAACCTTCGTGTTTGCTCCATTACCATATAAAAGGATCGATGTTGCCCTCTGTACCAGACACATTTTTGGAAGACGTTTCTTTAAAAGCATCGAAGCAATGAAACAAGTGAGGGGCACATCACCATCTGCCAAATCAACCAAAACGCTAATCAAAGTGGGTATATTTCTATGTAACTCATCCCAAACTGTTTCCCATGAGAACTGCTTCACTGTCACATCTTCTTTAGTATCTCTCAGAATGGAATCATGTGATTGTGAGCATATATGCTTCATCTCTCTCTGCATTTGGCATATCAACTCTCAGTTGTAACAGTGAAGCTCCCATTCATACGGACTCTATTAGAGAAGTTGAGAGTGTCTTGTAACTCTTTCTGACCATTCTTAAGGTGTTTTCTTCTGTGAAAGGAGATTTCAGCAGATATTTTTTTTCATATGAATCATATGGCACAGTAAGCTACAGTATAAATGTCATAATTAATGTATCAAGCTCAAAAATACTTTGCCTACTTTAGATACTGACTCTCTTGCTGATGAAGTCCTCTTTCGTGATGATCTGGGATTTGGAAAAAAATCCTAAGCAGATGGGGTTTATGTAAAAGGTCATGCAATGAAAAATTAAGTTATATATATATATATATATATATATATATATATATATATACCCCGTCAGCCTGTTCAGGAGTGCAGAAATCATCATCAAACAAGGAATCCAGTTTAGATAATAATTTTCTCTTCTCTTCTTCAGCCTTTTTTTTCAAAGTTTCTCATCTTTCTAAACTTCCACAGCAATTGTGGCAAATGTATGCTTTTCTAAGTGGAGCCTCAGAGTCTTGAACTAGTCCCAATCTATTTTCCTCTTCTGCAATATCATTTATTAGATCAAGGTACTTCCTTCCTGACTTCTCAAATAAAAGCAACTTCTTTGCCTGCTGAGTCCTTGACACCAGCTCTTCTTTACACAAAAAGCAAGGTACAGTATTCATCGCCATCATAATAATTTTGAATTGTCTGCAGGACAAATATTGCGCGCGCAAATCACAATGTACCAATTTTTCATTAAAAATT